CCCCAAAACCCCAAAACCCCAAAACCCCAAAACCCCATATAAAATCTAAAAATGGTAAAATATATTAATAAACTTATATTCCAAAGGTAAGATGGGAAACTTTGGTCTTAGTAAAAGTCATGGATTAATTATGAGTGTAAAGAGGAAGAAATAAGACATAGTTTTTGGTGTTGGTGTTGGGAGAGTTAGTATGGAAGGAACATGGAGTGCTAGCTTGATAGAGTGGGTTGGTGATGAGTAGAGATGGGTTAATTTAGTTGGATATGGAGAACATTAGGTAAGTTGTTGATAGTAGTAAATTGCTTATTAAGATTTTAGACTATGCATTTTTTTATGTTAACTTTATATTCTCTAATTTCATCCTTACCACATTCCCACACTCTCTCTTCTCTCCACAGATCCACAACCCCTTCCAATCACCACCTCTCCATCTCTCATGCTCTAACAAATATAGGAAGACTTAAGAATGTCGTGGAAAATATTAGTGTTATTAGTAGCAATTATACAGTTGTGAAGAGCCTTGTTTTGGTTTGGATGAATGCAAGGGTATTATGAGCAGGCGGGAAGGTGACTACAGTGTGATAGTTCGTGCAAGACTTGCTCTGATGGAGATAGTTGAGAGATGTGTGAGGAGTTTATGTATAGGAGTGAAGTTACGGGGTTTTGAGAGATTTGTGATGGTGGGAGGTATTTTTAGTCAGGAAAAGTTAAGTTGTCAACCATGAGAGGACTCTTGTTCTGGAGAGTGCAAGTATAGGCTTGAGTGTCTCATGTGTCCTCCAGATTTGTTATTTGATTTGGAAACATTAACTTGTGTGAATTCTTGTGGTCCTCAGAAGATTGAACTTATCTCTCAAAATCTAACATTTAAAGCAGTTTGAAAGAATCCAGAAATATACATTGATGCATTCAGTAGTGAAAAAATTGAACTTGGGACGCTAAAATACCCATACAGAAACTTAAAATCAGCAGCTATTGAGATTCTTCAACACCATAGTCATACAAATAGAAGCCTAACAATTTATACTAAAGAGGCATACCTTGAAATTGATACGTTCCGTATAATGAACATGACATTAGTTAAAATTGAAAATCATCCAGATTACAAACTAATTGGCAAGAATCCTCCCATTATAATTACCAAAGATGTCCAAGAAGGAATTTCTAAAAAGAGCCGTTTGCATCTTCTTAACAATACAAACCTAGACCCCACCTCAGTCATCAATACTGGAAGCTACACAGATTTAGAGCAATCATATTTCACGAGGCCAGGATCAGGATTCATTATCTCCCGTACAAACTTCCATATCTCTAACATTGACATCTACAGTTTGGACAAGTGCAAAAACATTCTTCCCATATACCTCCAAGAGAAAGAGGTCAGACTAGGTAAAATCCAAATTTCCTTACTCAGCTTAAGTCCAAGGCGAGCTGAAGCCATCTTTAAATGTTCGGTTCCCACAATTTCTCAAAATCAGCAATTTTTGTGAATTAGAGCAGTTTTGCATTCCAGATGGTTCCGATAGATATCATATGGGAAAGGAGATTTAGTAGAAATGGTAGAAAGCTTGTATCTGAGGATGCGCTCTTACTGTTTTGTTGAGAAATGGAGATCTAGACTTCTTATGGGGCTTCAATCATTGCATAGCTGATTTTAGAGGGTATTAGGATGTTATCTTGGTACTTTTGAATTGAAGAGTTTATAGCCTATTTTTCTTGTTTCTGATTATTTAAAGTCTATCACACACCTTAAGATCAAGAATTTAATTAGCCCATTGATATCTTCTTGAGATAATATTTTAAGGCTAAATAAAGAATTGCACCAAAATCATTAGTTTTTTAATACATACAAAAGAAAAAAATTAAAAAGTGGCTTCTATTTTATTTATACTCTTTGATAGTAACAACAAGCCCCTTCAAAGTACTAACTTCTGAGGAAATAATGTAACTAAAGAATTCCTAAATGGATAAAATTCACAATACTTCTAAATCAAAGCTGACTAATACTTCCTTCGCTACAACTCTTCTACCATAAACTACCAAATGCCCTTCTGATTTCCCCACATCAGTTATTTCAGATAAAACTTCTATCTTAACTAACCTTAAACACGCATTTATTATCAACAACAATATTTAGCCAACTATTTAATCCCTCTAGATTAATCTAAATCTCCCAAGTCTTTGCCTACTCAATCATAATACCCCAACGAGTAGTCAAAGTGTGATTCTTCCTTTTTGGCCAATTAATTATGAGTATTGCTTCCTGACTTCTTGGAAACAGACAGATTCCTTTGTTAGAAAGTATTAGACACAGAGTAGTTTGGTAGCCCAGAATTGGAGGGAAAGAAACTTATTGGTCTGATTCTTGGAGTCAAAGGGGGTTAAGAAATTTTTGGGTGATAAGTGAGTTTGGATAAGTTATGGATTGAGGGCTTATGGCTTTTTAGAAAATGAGAATCTGGTTTTGGGTTTTAAGATGGGTTTTAACCATTATTTTAGAAAATATGTACTGGAATAGCTCAGGTGATGGGATATATCCCTTAGAGCCACTGAATGTTCATCTTGAAAATATAACTGCAGATCTAGACGATAATTTTCTATTAATGCTAACAGTTGAAGCTAACTGTAATTATCCTGAAGCCAACATAAAGAATACTTTTTATGCCAAGAACATATCTGATTCTTCTTCCTTGAATATTGCTGGTTTTGGAACAATGATTTACATCACTTTTCCAGGAAATAATACATTCGATAGTTTTGATTGTAGGAGACAATCAACAAATCCTCAAAAATTAGCAGCTTGCTGGATAATGGCTATCTTTCCAAATTGTGTTCCTTATGACGACCTCTACGCAGAGACAATTTACAACAACACATTACATGACGGAAGTACGATTCAAGAGCAGAATGGGTTCACTTATTTGCCTTCATTCCTCAGCCATATTGCTCCATACAGGAGGTACTCAATCAAGCTTGAGAACAACTATATTTCAAATATGAGCTGGAAGGAGTCATTCGGAATCTTTTATTTCTGGCTAAGTGGCACTGAAAAGGTCTTCATGAAGAATATGGTCTTTACTAATATCACTCATGTCCCCTTTATTTTCCAGATTCTTAACTACGCCAACTGTAATGTTGATGGTTTACACTTTGAGAAGGATATTAACCTTAAATCAAAGATGTTTGAAATTGTATCAGGAGGGAATATCAGCATTAACAATCTCTATCTGACTAACTTTACCAATTTTGGTGCTAATCCAGTCTCTCCAATAGAAATAAAATCAGGCCCAGCTTCAAATATCTTACTGAGAGGGATCTACATGAACTCTGTTGAATTGTTTGATTTTCCACTGCTAAATATACCAACTGTAGCAAACCAGGTTATTATTACAGATTTGTATCTTGATGGAGTTAGGTTTGCAACTGAAGAATCTCTCTTTTATATCCAAACTGTCAACTCATTTTCAATGTCAAATTTGACTGTGAGGAATACCACTCCAACCGATCCATTAGATAATAAGTCAGTATTGTTGAATATTGCAACGCTAGATATTGAGGGAATGAAGACTGCTGATTTCTATGATATTAGAATTAAAAATTCATCTGTCTCATTGTTCAAAATAAATACTTTTGTGAATCAAGTTGATACACAAATTCCAATCAATATTCTGTCTATCAAATACTTTGATAGTTTGATAAGAGCAGATAGAGCTTTAATATCTACACAAAGAATCTCAGTTAATAACACTCTTCCTATTTACTTATCTGATTTGGAATTTGATGGCATTGAGTTTATGAATTCTGGGGTCTTGCTTGAAATAATGCATCAATTACCTAACACAATCCAATTATCAGAGTCAATCTTTAACAATATTATATCCGGGTTGATCAAGATTGAAGGAAGTAGAAGTGGTGGCTTAAAGACTATGCTATCAATGAATAACAGTGTGTTTTCAAATATTCAGACCCCCGTAAATGCCTTTTTCACTATTAGTCAGAGTTCAATAACGAATGCAAAGAACAACTCTTTTACCAACTTCACATCTACTACTTTTATCTCTGGTATAATGAACGTATTTGATGGTGCAAATGTCACTATTGTTGACTCTAATTTCACTAAAAATTCTGCCAAAACAGCTGCCATCGCAAAAGTTGAGACAAAAGCAGTCCTTAAGTTTGACAATTGAGACATCTATGAAAACTTTGCTATAACTAATGGAGTGTTTGAGGCAGCTTCTTATGGGTTAATTGTAATCGAAAATAGCAGTATCTATAGAAACTATGCTATCCAATATCCTATTGGGAGCATAATTCTTAGCGTATACCCTTGCAAAATTACTAGAACTGATATATACAGTAATGAGATGATAAGTAAATCTACCATTTTTAATGAAACATCTGAAGATTGAGAAAAGTTATGATTCTTACACCAACAAATGAAAGACTATTTATTGGGAGACAATTTGGATTCAATAGAAGAAATAGAATATTTATTCCAAGTCTTGCAAGGAAATTTAGTCATAAAAGATTCAGCTCACATCAGCAATGAAACTCTTATACTGAGTGCTTTTATGTCTTCTGTATCTATTGAAAATGCGATAATTTCAGATATTAAATCCGAAATTTCCTCTTTTAAAATTCTTGATTCTAACTTCACAATGAAGCACACAGTAATTGAAAACATAAGAGCTATTTCTTCTAGAGAGAGCTTCATACTATCTAATTCTGCTTCTATGGAAATGCTCAATATGACTTACAGGAATTCAAATTCTCAAATGTTGATTGCTCTGAGTTCAGTTCTTGAATTAAAGGATGTAAATTTTGATGCAATTTCTGACTGATCTTACTTAATATCAACTCTTCTTTGTGAATCATTTCAACTTAGAAATATGACAGTTGAGAGATCTAATCCGACACAGTCTGTCATGGTTCAGATACAGGACACTTTAGGAATAACTTTGGAGCAAATAAAATTGGCAGACCTCAACTTAACATTTGTATCAGCCATAGACTCCCAGATAGATGTTATAACAGATATAAGGATATCCAATCTTAGTCAATGTTTTATTTTTACAAAGACAAATATTAGCTTGCTCTCAGACTCTGAGTTCGTGGATAACTATTCTAAAGGCCCTGGAGGAGCTATTTTGATGACAGACTCTAAACTTAAGATTAAGAATACAACTTTCCATAACAATTCTGCAGATGAAGGAGGTGCTATTATGTTTGGATGCACTCAAAATGATATTTGAGAGCTTGACATTAAACAATCACTGTTTCGAGAGAACTCAGCTACAACTAAAGGAGGAGCCATTTCGTATAACTATAACCCTCCTACAATAGGTGATACTATTTTTGGGAATAATTCTGCTACCTATGGAGAAAATTATGCTAGTTATCCTGCAAGAATTGGATATGTTAACAGCACTGTGGATGAAGAAATCATTATCGAAGATATTGGACCTGGGTTACCGATTACTATTGATCTCAAGCTTGCTTTAATAGATATTGATGGCCAAGTTATTTCCAATGATAATACAAGCCAGATCTTGATTCTCCCAAAAGATTTCTCTAATTCAGCTATTAGTGGTACAAATGTTGCTCAAGTTGAGAATGGAATTGCACAATTTAATAATATTACTTTTGAAGTTGACAGAAAATATAAAACCTTTAATTTCTCTATCAGCTCAACATCTATTAATTCTGATAAAATAACTAAAATAAGTAACAAACTCGAACAGAAAGATCTCTTGGCTAAATTCAGAGATTGAAAACCAGGAGAGAGGATTTATGGTAAAAGATGTGAAGTTTGTGCAGCAGGAACATATTCGTTAAACTACAACGCAACAGAATGAGCTCAATGAAGCCTTGAAGCAGAATGACTTGGAGGAGCACAAATATTTTTGAGGCCAGGATATTGGAGGAGATATCACAACTCCACTAAAATTGTTGAATGAATTGATAAAGAGGCGTGAAAGGGAGAATACAATTCTACTGGATCCTCACCATCTGTCTGAGCAGAAGGGTATACAGGAGACTTATGAGGCCAATGATCAGTAAATAGCACTGTTAAATATGAGAGAGTTAATGATTTTCAATGAAGAAAGTGCCCAGATCCTGTATGGAATGGCTTTCGAGTAGTCGGACTATTTCTAATAGTCCTCGCTTTTTATGTATTTATGGTCATTATCAATGTAAGAAAGACCAGTGAAAGTGAACTATCAATACTGTTGAGAATTTTTACTAATTATATTCAACTGATCACAGTATCTACTTCAATGACGAACAATTATCCATCCACTTTCATCGCTTTATCTTATGCAATCAGACTATTTGGAGCTTCTTCTGAAGCTCTATTATCATTCGATTGTTTCATTAGAGATACAGATATAAAATTTATCTTTGACTCAAATGCCATTTTCAAACTCTTCTTACTCTGACTCTTGCCTGCAATTCTTTTTCTAGGGTTTGCATTGATGTGGATAGTAGTAAACCTGGTTAAAAGCAGCTGGATCAGTGACCTTCGAAGGAATATCATAATCTCATTTATCACCATTGTCTTCATATTGCATCCAAAATTAACCGAAAATAGTATTAGACTCTTCAGTTGAACCAATCTCGATGACGAGAGCAAAGTTATGAAAATTGACACAAATATTGAATGATTCTCTTCAACTCATGTCATCTGGGTAATTTTTGTTGCAACCCCTATTCTGGTAATCTGGGTATTAGCTTGCCCAATTATTGCAATATCTATGATTTATTATAGTAGGAGAAGGCAAGAAAGCAGCAAGATGGCTGAATATTTTATCATAATCTCACAAGGATTTAAGCCAAATGCTGTATATTGGGAATTCATAAACACTTTAAGAAAGATTATAATCCTATTTTCATTACTGTTCTCTCTAACTGTTGGGACCATTATATCTTTATCAATGCTAATCATTACAGCAAGAATAGAGATATGGATTAAGCCATATAAGAACAATGAGCATTGTAAGTGTGAGCTCTTAGCAATAATGGCTGGGATATCAACCATAACTGGAGCACTTATATTCACACAGCAGAATCATAGCCCAAATCTTGATAGATGTGTGCTAATAATCATAGTATTGGCCAATATTAAGTTTATCATTGAATGGGTTTATCTTTTGATAGGCGTTTATACTGAAAATAATAAGTTCTGATCTATTGTAAGCACTCATTTAGACTAATTATTAGGCATTCAGTTTTCTCACAAAACTATTGTGAAAGAGCAAAAGGTATCTTTTAAAGCATGATCATATAGGTTGCAGCCCACTGAGAATAAGATTGATACTAAACAAGTGACTCAAAAGGTAAACCTTAGCATAAATATAGTGTTTGAAGAGAGAATCAGTCCAATCAGTCCAATCTCCTATGTCTCAGCCAAGAGTTCACAAGAGTAAATTTCCTATAACTGTATAGAGTTATTGAAAGGGTCAAAGAAAGTGAAGTATAGGAGAAGAAAACAGAAAAAGAAACCTCAAATAGAGACTGATGAAATACAATCTGACGATAGGCTTCAGAGGTAAGATTTATTTATAATCTTTAGAGAGGAAAATAAAGGTAAGTCAGAGAGTATCAGGAGCATATTTATCATTCACCTTTGATTAAGTAAAGAAAGAACTTGCCCTCTAGAATTCATCACAAGTCAATTTAGGGATTATTTTACTCAAATATCTGAAAAATATCAAACTTTCTCTTTATTGTTAATATGTATTGAAGTCATTTTTCGTGAAAAGTAGTCTTACTTGATTAATAAAGCTTTGAAGAGCATTAAGTTTATTATTTAAAAACAATATCATAAAATATCAAAATTTCTTAATATAATAACTACCTACAAAACTGTACATTCAAATCGATCACCCTCCACCTTCACAATCTTGGACACTCCTAACCCCCTATAGAATCCGAAGGAAGGTACTACGCATACAAAATTATGGTAAGTTGCATCAAAATCACCCAAAATCACCCAAAACCCCTATTTCCACCTCTCCGTTCACCTCTAAGCCCAAAACCTTCAGTATTTAGCTGGGCTCAGCTGCACAGCTAAGGGTTCAGGCAGAAGGCTTAGGGTGGCTTAGGTCCAGGGGGTTGTACTGGATGAAGAGAGAGGGTTTTGGGGGAAATGGGGGAGTAAGGGGTGTTTAGAGGGGATTGGAAGGGGTTTTTAGTGGAGTTTGGTAAAGATTTGTAGATAGGATGGTATTTGAGGGGTTTTGGGTGTTGGGAGATGGGATGTGGGGTAAAAGGAGAAGGGGATATGATAAGTGAATGATAGTTAGATTTTGGGGGAATTGTAAAAGATTTTAGGTTTGGATTTGTGTTGATTTAGTGTACTAAATTTATTGTAATATCTAATTCAATTTTGCAAAAATATAAATATCTCCTCAAAATTTAATATTTTTGTTTTAATTTTCACAAAGAAATAAAATTTTAAAGATTACGACGATAAAAAGAGAATGTAGTTAACAATACCATCTAGCATCTATTATTCCTTATTTTTATATTCCAGCATCAAATTACAATACTTTGGTATCAACTATATTTGAGTTGCATGAGATTAAGATATTCGGTTTTCTACAAATAAGCAATTTAATATACCATCCAGAATATTTCCTCTTCTAGCCTCATGCTAGTGCATTATTAACAGCAAATAAGTGCCTGGATTACTCTCTCAGGCTTTGCTTCTATCTGCATTCCAGCAAATCTAAATCATTAATCTATCTAGAGAGTCGTTGACAGAAAGCAAAGTCTGAAAAGCAACTCAGAATCTCCCCAATCACAACATGAAGAAAATCACGAATCTTAACCCATAATTTAACCCTCAAAAATATAGAAATATCAAAACAAATTCATTTCAACCAATCCAACACAAGCCGGGGTTTTGGGGTTTTGGGGTTTTGGGG